CTTCCTTCCGTCTTCTTCATCCTTCCTTCTTCTTCTTCCTTCCTTCCTTCCTCTCTCCCTCTTTCTTCTCCCTCTTCTTCCCTCTTTCTTCTTTTTCCTCCCTTCCTTCCCATCTTTTCTTGTATCTACTTATTTTTTTCCTCAATCTTTCTTCCTCCTTTCTTCTCTGTCTTCCTCTCTCTTTCATTCCTTCCTTCTTCCTCCTTCCTTCTTTCTTCTACTTCCCCCTTCTCACTTCTTCTCTTTCTTCTATCTTCTTCCTCCTTCCTTCTTTTCTTCCTACCTTCTTCCTTTCTCCCTCATTCCTTATTCTCTTCCCCCTTCTTTACTCCCTTCTTCCTCCTCCTTACTTACTTCATCCCTTCTTCCCTCTTCATATTTCCTTCTTTCCTTCCTTTCTTCCTTCCTTATTTCCTTCTTCTTCCTCCTTACTCCCTGTTTTCCTTCTTCCCTTTTCCTTTTTTCTTCCTTCATTCCTCTCTTCTTCCCTCTACCTTTTTTCCTTCCTTCCTTCTCTCCTTCCTTTCTTTCATCATCCCTCCCTCCCTTCTCCCTCCTCCCCGTCAACTCACCACACGAACCGCGATTCAAAACAGTCGTCAGGTAACGCCCTTGTCTCTCTCTATCCTCCTCTCCCTCCTCCTCTTCCCCTTCTCTCCCTCGTCTTCTCTCATCCTCCATCCTCCTGTTGTTGTCCTTCCCTCCTTCCCTCCTTCCGAGCTCCGAGTCTCCCCCGATGTCGTAGTCCTGAAGGATATCCTGCTGGCCGTCACCTGCTTGGTTTTCCAGCATCATTTTGTCCCCTTTCCCTCCTACGCTGTTCGTCGTCTTGTAGTGGAATTCTGTGGGAGAGAAAGAGAAGGGGATAGTGACAGGACGATTAGTGATGATGATTGTGATAGGGAATGTTGTGATATTTATAGTAGTGATGGTGATTATGGTAGAAAATGTTGTGATATTTATAGTAGTGATGCTGATTATGATAGAAAATGTTGTGATATTTATAGTAGTGATGGTGATTATGATAGAAAATGTTGTGATATTTATAGTAGTGATGGTGATTATGATAGGGAATGTGGTGATATTTATAGTAGTGATGGTGATTAGGATAGGGAATGTTGTGATATTTATAGTAGTGATGGTGATTATGATAGAAAATGTTGTGATATTTATAGTAGTGATGGTGATTATGATAGAAAATGTTGTGATATTTATAGTAGTGATGGTGATTATGATAGAAAATGTTGTGATATTTATAGTAGTGATGGTGATTATGATAGAAAATGTTGTGATATTTATAGTAGTGATGGTGATTATGATAGAAAATGTTGTGATATTTATAGTAGTGATGGTGATTATGATAGGGAATGTGGTGATATTTATAGTAGTGATGGTGATTATGATAGAAAATGTGGTGATATTTATAGTAGTGATGGTGATTATGATAGAAAATGTTGTGATATTTATAGTAGTGATGGTGATTATGATAGGGAGTGTTGTTGTGATATTTATAGTAGTGCTGATGATTATGATAGATATTATTGTGATATTTATAGTAGCGATGATGGTGATGATGGTATTAATGACATTGATGAAGATTATGTACATATACGTACATGTCATGCCCACTGTGAGTTTACTTGTTTAATTGTTTTTACACATAGATGGCTACACTTGTACTAAGTCACCAATGAGCCAATTACGAGTACTGGCTGTCTCGCCCGTTCATAGTAATTATAATGATTATAATGTTTATAATAAAAATAACACCATCGATATTCATAGCACTAGTAAAAAGTACGTTTTTTCCCGCCAATTCAAGGAAAGATGAAATCAGGCAGGGTCTAAGGATCTACTAATTAATTCCTCTGTGGCTAAGCACTTTCGGAGCCATTTATATATATGTGATATAAAAAAGAGCACGTTTTACCCGGCAGCAATGGGTATAACAATAATGATAATAACGATGTTGAGAATCATACTAATGATAATGACAATAACGACAAGAACAGAAATTATACTAATAATGATAATAATAATAATTACCATAATAATGATGATGATGATTATGATGATGATAACAACGATAACATTGATAATGATGTTAATAATGATAACAATAATGATAATAATATTGATAATAATAACGACAATAATAATGGTAATGCTAATAAAGTAAATGATACTGATAATGTTAAATTAAGAACAAATATATGATAACAAAATGATAAATATTATGATAATAACAACAACAATTATATAATGATAATGATACTGATCAAATCATTATTATAATGATAATGATTATAATAATTAATAACAATAGAAATTATATTAACAATGATAATAATTATAAATATAATACCATTTGTAATATTAATAACAGTAATAACAACAACAGCAATAATGATGATAACAATAAGAATAATAACAATAACAATAACAACAATAATAATATTGATAATAATAATAATGATAATTATAATAATGATAATAATAA